CGGCTGGTGGGTCCCGGGGCCCGCGCCCATGGAACCGCTGAAACCACTGAAACACTGTCAACCGTTGAAGGACCTATGATTTGCGTTGCTACTACATTTGTGTTTCCCAAATAATGAACATATTTAAGTTAAATTTGGAAAGTAAGCACCATGAATATTAGCTGTTCACCTGTATTTAGAAGCTCTGAGTAGTCAAATGTATTAATTTCCATTTTTGTCCTTTCCTCATTCAATGATAGTACTATTTCCCAAAACTACTGTCTTAAGGATTGTTTTCCTGGTGATTAATCTTAATATAGTACAATCGCATTTATTTTTGTCCAAATTTATAATCTATTTTAAAGTTTCCAATATGCTCGAACTCTAGAAAAAGTAGAGGGTTTTTTTGTTTTGTTTTTTCTGAAATCACTTTGCTCTTTTCTTCTCTTTCTAACTTTGAACTTCTCTTGCTGACTTTGAACTTCACCCAGAGACAGTTGATGGCGGCCAACACGTCCTCATGCAGGCGAGACTCATGTTTTGTCATCATCTTAGAAAAATATTTCTGCCTCAAAGAATTTTTCCAATCTTCTGTTAAATATGCTCCCTCTTAATAGCACGTCGTTCAACTACCAATTTATTCTCATTAAACTTTTACCTATTTTTCCCCCAAATACTTACATAAACTAAAAATATCAACTCATGAAAACGCATCCAAAAAATCAGCGTTCAGTTCAATATAGAGGTTATAATTCACCCAGCCCTGGAGGACAGCATCTAATACATCTAATTGCTTTACCCACGAGTGCTTTCATTAGCTCCAATAAATAACAGCTCTTTTTACCTCATTGAAATCTTTAACATTCCATATTGTAATTCTTTAAAAAAAAAATTCCTTGCCCAGCTGGGCGTGGCTCAGCGGTTAAGCATCGACCTAGGATCCAGGCGATCAGGGTTCGATTCCCGGTCAGGGCACATGCCTGGGTTGCGGGCTGCAGCCGATCAATGACTCTCTCATCATTGATGTTTCTCTCTCTCTCTCTCCTTCTCCTTTCCTCTCTCTAAAATCAATAAAGATATATTTTTAAAAATAAATAAATAAAATAAATAATAAATAAATAAATAAATAAATAAATAAATAAATAAACAAATAAATAAATATTGCTTTATTTTATCTGAAATCCTTGGGGAAAACACAGACTTTGTCATTGTGGCTTGTCCTGTACATATCCTTGGATCCAAGTAACCACAAGTCCCTGTTCTCAGAGATCTTGCCCCCATATCTTCGTGAGCAATGACTTGGGGTAGGGACACAGGCAAAATATTCTGATCCCTCTCAGGTGATAATATTATTACAAGGACCCCCCTGAGGTTGGTTTATGTAATCTAGAGAAACACCACAGGCTAAGGTATCTGATGCTCTTGTGGTACAAGAAACCAGAGGAAGGGAGCAGATACAAGGAAAACATACAGAACTGTCTCTGGAGGTATCTGTAGCTAAGTCTTTGCTATCCCAGGGGGCAGAAATAGGACTAATGTGTGGAAGCCACTGGAAGGTAACTTTCAGCTAAAAGGAAAGAATTATCTAAATACAAATAAAAAAATGGAACAAGGTGCTTCCTAGAGGAAGGAGGCAGCCACTTCTCCAGTATTCGCCTTGGGTTTCTTCCAGTAGGGAGACATTAAAAACTGTGTGCTTATATAAGTTACTTTTCAAACAAGGACGCATTTGAGAATAAAAGTATAATGGCAATAAACCAGGATCTCCCAAGCAAACAGTCTCATGTCACCTTAATTCACGCTAGTTGTTGACCACCAGCTGTGTGGACATGTTCACATGTGGAAAAGAAACCTCCTAGGGGAAAGGGAGCAAGTCAGAGCTCATGGGAATGCTGAGAAACTTGACCTTCTCACCCCCCTTATATTCTCACCCTGATAGGATAAAGTCCAAAGATCCAGATCAAACAGGATCTATGCGAGCAAGCCTTGACATAAGCAAAGAGTTAAGAACCAGAGGGAAAAGTTCAGGGGCATTGTTCCCAGAGCCAGGATGGAATAAATGCAAGTTATTCAGAGACATCTACCAGAGCCTAACATAAAAAAGTAAAAGTGGAGCCAACTCCAAAGGACTGAAGAGTATGGAGGTAAGAGCAGGACCAGTCTAATAGCAGGACTCCCCGCATTGCAGTCAGGCACTGAGGAGAAAGTGGAGAAGTGCAGGGTGTGTGAGGAGCACTATTCCCTGTGATCTGTGCTTACCGTGCCAAGTAGGTCTCAAATTATCCAAAGATGCACATTTTTTCTTCAGTGCTTAATGGTGATTGAAATATAAGTACAGAAGCTTTACTACAACTTACGACACTGTAATTGATAACTGTTAAGAAGGGTTATTAAAAATTAACATTCCTAATCCAAAATTTCCATTTCGCCAATCGCAGCGGCCACTAATGGCTATATACTCAGCTCCTATTCCCCTTCTTGCACTTTGCCCTGATGTTGAATGGGCACTTTCTGCTTTGCCATGCAGCCAAGCTGACTTAGGGAAAACTGATCCCACTCCACAGTTAGAGCCAATGAGGATAATCCCAGTCCCCTACCCTGTGATCTTCAACTCAAGCCAACAGCACTACCTATTTCTTCGCAAGTGGTATTGGTCCAGACACGTGGCATAAATTAGCCATACTTTAGGGAAAGGCTATTTTTCAACATGAACAAGGGCAAGCGTGTTTAACTTGGTGTAAGCCAGCTTATTGATAAAGTCACCACATGAAGGAACTAAGCAAAGAGGAAAGAGTGGCAGCAAGGCAGAGCCAGAGCTTGTTTTCACCAGGCCTTCCCTACCTTCCGATTTCCTTTGTATGAGATAATATCATCCTTATTGTTTAAGCTAGTTTGAGGTGAATTATCTTGACTCTTCTGCTGAAAGTACTCTTACAGGTTCACAAAACTGTGGTCCCCAAACCTGTCTGCACACTGGAGTCACTTGGGGACTTTCACAAGTTGCTGATGCCCATGTTCCACTCAGAACATGGTTTATTGGTGTGATGTGCAGCTGGGTGAGCAAATGAAACTCTCAGATCCCTTCTATTCTGGAGATTCTTAAGAATTTATCACTGCCCGAGACAGACGAAGTACCCTGAGACCCCTCAAAGTGACAGAGAATATGTGTCCCACCAGGGACTCTGTCAACCCCCAGAATGAAAGAGGAATGTTTATTCTTTGCAGCAAGATTTGCATTATTGCCCAGCTACCCTGCTTGGATTTCTGCTTGATCTCTTTGTCTGTACCACATTTCAAAAGATAGTGTTCGAGAGCCTTCTGTAGTAAAATTGTAATATAAATCTCTGGAAGTCACATGCAGATAGTCCCAAGGAGCCAGAGTGGTTTCAACTGTTCATCAAGAATTCCTCTGAAATGCTGTAATGGGTAAAAGCACAGAGATCAAGTGGGAAAAGAGGAGTAGAGATTTGCCCACACTGTTAACATGCCCTAATACCTCTAGCTCTCAGTACCCTGTGCAGTAAACTGAAAAACATAATATCTGTTTTATCTATATAATAGAGCTTTTGTGAGAATGATATGAGATAATACATATGAAAAATTTCAAAAGACAAATAAGTGCTCACTGAATGTAAGTTATTAGTCTAGAGGGTTTAAAATGAAATCTAGACTTAACCCTAATAGACACAGCAGAGCAGCAGGAAGAAATGGGTTGGGGAGCTAAGTTTTCTGCCAGCCTCCTCTCTTTGAGAGCTTCTTCATCTTTCCCCTCACCACCCTGCATAAAATAACAAGCTTGCTCTATAAAGGCAACTCTCAGACATGTTCTGGCCCTTACACACTTTCAGCCAGATTGACAGCCCCTGAGCTCCACCCATATGGAAATCCTAGGACTGACACTACCAGTCAGGAAGGCTGTTTTGTTGCATTTCCCCCCTAGGTTTTTAGAAGCACCCCTCTTCATCATCGAGAGTACACCTCTGGGTCCTACAATGTTATATCATTCCCCACTTGAATTATAATGTCTATCAAAAGAAGCATCTCTTGGGAGGCTTGAGTGCTAAGTGGGGAGTGATTTTTAGAGAGATGTGTGGGAAATGGTTTCAATATTTGGCAGCTCCTAAAGGCAGGATGATTTGAGATGTTGGATTTTTTTTTTTTTTTTAATACTTGATCAGCTCATACTAGTCCTTTATTTCTGAAAGTGCCTTGTCATTGGAATATTACATTTGGTAGTTGCACCAAAGTAGAACTTTCATAAACCAGAGGGTTATAATTTTTAGTTTATTCCATTCATTGATCACATTTCACATATATCACATAAATGTATCAATTCACTAAGAAATCAATCTTTCTTTTACAGATCTCTCCATTAAAACATACCATTCTGAAACTAAAGACATAGACAACGCCCAAAGAACTGAAACAGCTGAAGGTACTGCAAAAATGTCCAAAACGCCAACCATGAGACGAATGTTTGATTTGACAAAACACCGAACAAAAAGATCAGCATTTATCCCAGCTGGGGTTAAAGTCTGTCCACAGGAATCCACGAAACAGATTTCAACCAGTCTTCAAGCTTATTATAGATTGCGAGGTAAGGAAAGAAATGAAACCTGTTTAGCCTTTGGTTCTTTTCATCCCTTCCTTTTAATCTCCTATAGATCATACTCATCCCCAAACTTCCAGTCGCTCATTTAGTCACAAGAGTTATAAAAATGAGCCAACTAATCAGAGAGTAATGAATAATAAACATTCACAACAGTGATGGGTATCAGCTCTTACTCTTTATAATAATAATAATGTCCTGTGCAATACAGAACCATTAGGGCATTTAACAAGTAACCAGGAAAGCCTTGGCACCTGAGATATACCTCTTTTATTTTGCCAAAGCCCAGTACTGAATTTTAAAGTTGCTATTATGAAGTAAGAAGCACAGGATGATTGCAACGTCAGGAACCTGAACAAGTTGACTTATGGCTTAAGATTTTATTGTTCAAAAGCAACATTACAATCCAGATCTTTCTCCTTCCTTGATAAGTATAAGTGGTTTATTGCTGGTTCAGCAAAAACTCCCAGAGCTTGGAAACCTGGAGGCACATCCAAATGCAGAGGAGTCACAGATTAACAGGAATTACCAAAGTACAGTGCAGGGGTGTTAATGGATTTACAACATAATTACTGTGGTTTCCAGTGGAGTTAGAGTGCAGTTTTTACCCCAAAACAGCATCACAGGATTCTTACAGAATTCCTGGGAGTCATTATGGAGTTCAGTTATACCACAACCGTCAATGGCTGTCCTTGTCATTCACTTACCATAGGTGAAAAAATGTCCATGGCTTCTTCATTAAAGGGGGGAGGGAATCATTAGTAGCTTCTATTTACTTCCCCAGGTAGCTCCAAATAATGCACTCAGCCTACACTCAGTTCATCTTAGATGTGAAAGTTGAGGTGGTTTACTGATCTCCACCTGCATCATACTAGATGTTTGCTTCCAATCCAGAAAGCAGTCATCCTGATCTGTTTCAATCCCACTGGCTAGAGCGGGCTGGCTCAGTTCTAGCCTGTGATGTGTTGCCCATCAAACGACTGAAAAGCATTTCAGGATACTAACATCCCCAAAAGTCCTTGAGTATTTACACTTGTAATATGTGCAAGGGTTGCACTAATACAGAGAGTTCTTACTGGGTTTTGGAGGCATAATTAACTAACAGTATCAAAAATAGCAAGTCTTATGTTCCTCATATGCCTCACTTTATGTAGAAGCAAAGAGATATTTGCTTTCTGAAAGAAGCCACACCCACAGAGAAGTGACAAGTAGTGACTGGATCATAGTCAGAAGAAGGACTCTAACTACCGAAAATCAAGTGCACCACCTGAATATTCTGAGATCCAAGCACAGCACCTCTGCATGGCTGGTTCTCATTAAATGTTGTTGATGAGCACAGAAGGCAAAGAGGCCATTGGGAATGCAAAGAAAAGACAGTGACGTGTGTAAATTATTCATTTTGAATGTGCCTACACTTTGATCCAATAATGACAGGAGTAAATTCCATTTTATTTGTTCATGGATGGAAGTATAAACATATGGTATAGTCATCACACTGAATATGAACACGACTATTGCTAACTATTTCACTTAACTTCTAATTCTTTATGACATTCACAAATAGGATTCATCACAGGTATTTGTAGAAAAGACTGTTTATTGCTGCAACCAGATTTTTAGCTCTGAATTTTATTATTAGCTCTTTATTTTTTATTAGGTTTGCCTCTTTCATTCTTGCTTTCCTGGATGAATCAAACTGCTGTTTTTCTCCCCACGGCAATGGCAGTCCATTATCTTTATGGCTGCCCCTGGGTGATATGAAATTTTACTATTCATCAACATGGGTTCTTAAGTCTAACAAATTCAGTTCATAAACTGGAAATAAGACCCAGCTACAAAGCAGTGTTTCTTTGACAGAGTAACCCACTTATTGTTTTTGTAGCTGCTCTTACAAAATGATCTGTTGACATCCTTCACATATAGGGAAGAAAGCTCCTGCATTCCTCAAATGAAATGGAATATTGAGCTATTTCTTTTCCCAATGCTTAGAGAAAATGTTCTGAGCTTCGTGTTAGAATCATAAACATGCTCATCCCAAAGAACAGGCACAGAAGAGGCAAGTTTGTTTCTGCTAGTGTCCCATGGGGGAGCCCTGTGCTCCCACCCAGGTAAACTACCTCTTTTGTGATTATCTCCCTTGAAACCATTTGCCCCCATGTCTCCCTCTCTCTCCCTTCCTTACTTCCTTTATTTCTCTCCTTCTCTTTCCCTTTCTCCCAACCCCAATATCAAAAGAGAGATCACATTGATGTGTGACTTAGAAAAAGGCAAAAATGGAGGGAGTCCTAGTTCTTGCTACTCCAATGTTGTCCACAACCCAGCAGCATCACCATCACCAACCAGGTAACTTGTTAGAAATGCAGATTCTTAGATCCAGCTCCAGACCTACTTTCAGAATCTGCATTTAAATAACATCCATAGGTAATCCATTTTCACTTTCACCTTCTAGAAGTGCTGGTCTGAAGATCTTCTAGCTAACACCCCCATTGTACAGATAAGAAAAGTGAGTTGACATGCTCAATCAGGGCCACCGTTGGTGGCAGAACAGTTAGAACTCAACATCCTAACTCCCACCTCAATGTGCTACCTCTCCACCTAATGTGTGCCCACCACTGTGGTGGGCATTTTCACAAACCATCGGTCTAACTTAATCCTTCCAAATATAAAGAACTATCCAGGAGTATATCTGGCCTCATGATGTGTATTCCCTGGGTTCTTCCTACATCTCCAAACAGCCTAGGGCATGACATTCAGCAGAAAGGCTGAGGCTCCACGGTTAGATTCCAGGCAGTGGCCAGCCACTGCGGAAAGAGTAGGAGGCAAGGCTCTGGATTTCTCCCAAATCCCTGTAGCAATCCTTCCCCATAGATTCAGAGAAGGATGGTGCAGAACAGCTAAATCACGGGAGTAGAAAAATCCAATTTTCCAAAGTTTGTAAACTCCTCCCAGCCTCAAGATCCTTTGAGGCCTCGAGTTTCAAGTGTTCTTTTTTTTTTTTTTTTTTTTCTTTATTAGAGAGAGAGGAAGAGAGAGGGAGAGAGAGAGAATAGAAACATCTATGAAAGAGAAACATCATCGATTGGCTACCTCCTGAATGCNGAGTTTCAAGTGTTCTTTTTTTTTTTTTTTTTTCTTTATTAGAGAGAGAGGAAGAGAGAGGGAGAGAGAGAGAATAGAAACATCTATGAAAGAGAAACATCATCGATTGGCTACCTCCTGAATGCCCCCTACTGGGGAATGAGCCCACAACCTGGGCATGTGCCCTGACCAGAAATCAAACCCGTGACCTCCATGTTCATGGGTAAGTGCTCAACCACTGAGCCATGCTGGCTGGGCTCAAGGGTTCTTTTGGTTCTCTCTTGGTAAGGACAAGGGACTTTCCAGGTGAGTCATGGGATGGTGCTCCTGTTCTCCCAATCCCAGAAGAATTCTATGCTTCCTGGTTTGTGTTATGCTTCAGGAGGCCAAGAAAATGACATCAGAGAAGTCACCAAAAAAAAAAAAAAAAAAAAAC